TAACCGGATAGCATCTTAGCTGTAAAGGACGACCAGGTTAGTACTTCTTACCCACGTTAAGATTTCAATTATGTACCATTAGGCACAGGAAGAGGCTATATTACATATATCGATAGAGAAACTGTGGCTCTCAAATGTGCGCATGCAAGAGAGAGAGAGAGGTCTTCATACACCTCTTCGTCCTTTTTGCCTTTTCCTTGCCACCAAGAACTGGATAAGGTCTTTTTGCATTGCATTACTTGGTTTTACCTCCTACTTCACTTTAAATTAATGGCTATGGAAGTTTTACTTTAAAGATTCTAGTATTTTTATATGAATCATTCTTATCATGAGGGGAAACAAAATGTTTTTAAAATTCATTGATTTCAAATAACATCAACTTAGATAATTTTGAAATGACTTACATGCTTTTTTTCTGTTACTAGCTCCAATACACTGTAATAATTTTGCAGTTACAGAATAAGTAAGTTGTAAAGATCTAGTATTAATTTTGTTCTATTTTATCTTTTTAATCTTTTACTTTTTATACATTTCCATGATATTGTACTTAAATAGAAAGGCACAATGTTATATGTATATAATTTAAGTTTACCTATGTTGTGATAGAGTTCTAAGAAATTTATGACTCAGCACCCCAATGTAACAGGTAACAAAATGAGTTTGCTTAATATGATATGAGTCTATGGGTGAAACATCGCTCAAGTCTCTATTACGTACATAAATCATTTCGGCCACTTCTCCCAAATCACTGTATTGCAGATGCATAATAATCAAGCATTTAAAGAGCAAATATTTGTTATATTTACAAGGCAGAGATTGCTAGGTACTATAATTATAACTTTAGCTTGTGGTCCAGAACAATAGAGAGTTAATAACTTATCTGATGTTCCTTTTTTTTTTTTTTCATGCACGTGCCCGATAAGGTCGTACAAATCAGCAAGCACAAAGTACTATTTATGACATTGTAGTAAACATACCCTATGTGATCGAACCAATTTTCATAACTTGATATTAAAAAAAATCAAGTTAAAAGAGTAACGAAATTATCCTACAACATTGAACCGAATCACGTTTGTAAGTTATCATACGCCATATTTCATTATAAAAAGCAGTCGACAGCACCCAAACACTGTTTGATTGGCAGAAATACATTCTTAAGATGATATTATTATATTATAAGGTACACATTTAAATATATTATTATATTGATTTTAATATTTCCTTATTTATATCTATATATCTGTCTACGGTCTCGTGATTCTGATTCGTGACAAAAAAATGTTTACCTCACACAATTTTTTTGCTCAAATATTAACTTAATGTAATCTATGAGATAAAAGTAACAAAAAATCATGACGTAAGCCAGTACCAGTTTCAAGCAGGTAAACGTGCAGGAGTCCCCATAAACATTATGCTCTTCTGCCACTCTTGGAGATGGAGAGTAAAACACCGTTGCACTGAGAAAATAGCGGTCCTGCAACTACCCCCGTATGTGTATAGACAACACCAAATGCCCACGTAGCCATAGCCTCGATCTTCCATGCAGTAGGTGCGCGGGAACAATTCTGTAGAAGCACCGAACGAGGTAGGAGTAGCGTCAACTGTGTGAAGCAGCAGAAACAAACATTTAACTTGGGGCTTCCATGTGCTAACTGCATGGGCTCGGTATTCTAGCTGCTCCAATCATGAGGTATAACAGTTACACCACCTTACATGCTCTGACTACCTCGATAATTTCTAAGTGTTGAATTAATAATTATTAAAAAAAAAACTAACTGCTTACGAAATACACAACTAAGAGCTGAATTGATGGCATGAACAAGCATTAAATACTCTATCTTATCAAGATCTGTCTTCAATTGAAACTAAGACCATTTCTTAGTTAATGACCTCTTAAAGATCCAAAGACCCGAAAGCTCACGGCTTAGCAAAGGCAGAGACTCACAATTCGTTTTCTTATCGTATCAGCGAATCAACCAGCACGCTTATTCTCTAGCCAAAAACTATTCCGTAATCTTTACCATCTCCTGCTCGAGGCTTTGGTACCTCTAAATTATCTTAATTCCTCCACTTAAAGAACGTCTACCGTGTGAAAATTTCTAATCCTTTTCCCTCGCACGCAATTAAAGTTTCTTACGTTTTAAAAAATCCAACGATAAGGCACGTTTACATGGAAACTCCCTACATATTTAGTTAGTTTTAATCTTAATATGGCCTATTCCAGAATATTTAATTTTTTTTCATGTGTACTTCTCCTGACAAACTTTAACAATCTTGCAGACGTATCATAAGTAAGGGCATGGAGAGCAAGTAACAGTAAAATTTATCTACGACTTACGTCGTGACTCTGCTTTACCGATAACTTCCACTAGTACATGCGTGCATAATGTACTTTATTTAATATAGTTTACTGATACTTACAAGTACTTAGGATTGTAGTTTATATTAATTACCAGATTAAAATGAGTCTTACAACTTTATAGTTAAAAACTTCCAATACCTAACATGATTTGTTTTTATAACACACAAATATTTTTTTCCGAAAACTTTTTCGAACACTATTTATCTTGTAGAGCCATAATAAGTCAGCGCATGAAAAGTAAATATTAGTCGTGTTTATCTACGGCTGTGCATGAAAAGCATTGTAGTATGTGTTTGTTAGTTAGAACTTACATGTATTCATCTTATGTACGAGATTGAAAAGGATAAAAAAATACATCAAAGGCCTTACAGTTAGCAAGCTTGGTAGTTTACTTCTGCTAGCAGTTATTTATATATTTGGATGCATGTAAAATAAAAAAAAGACACTGTCTGATGAAAATTTTTCAACCACTTATATTCATCATTGGTGCTAGTTTAAATAAATATTGAAGTGATTGGACATCTGTCGTCAGTTTACATGACTACATCATGACTGTACACCAAAAAATTCAACTGTAAGCACTGTTATGTTTAATCATATCTTTACTGTACAGTTAGTATAGTAATTATAGTAATTATTTTTATTCTTATCTAGGGAACCAGGTTGTCAGTTTTTGTCATGTCAGGTAACTCTACATGCCATGAACCTGGTAAATATAATTCTAAATTTTGAAGACCCTTTTGCTTTGGCAATCAAATTCGTTCCAATTCCATAGATACAAACACAAAAAAAACTACATACATGTTGCTAGCTCAAAAATAATTTTACATCTTTCTAGGATTTTGCGCAACACAACTATTTGTTTTTTTTATAAGAACAAATACGAATTCAACAATTAAAATTATCAAGTTTGTACTTTATATAACTTCTCACACATTTAAATAATAAATATAGATACAAATGGATTTTCTAATTTAAAAAATTATAAGAATCCTAAGAAAAAAATTTTTTTCACAATAGTTTTGAATTCTAAAAGAGGTGCAAAATACATTTTAAAAAATTTCAGAACTAGATAGTGAGGTTGTTGGCAAACGTAAGTTTTAAAATACATAATGAAACTGTTTTCCAGCCTGCAGAAACTCTGAAAAGCAGTAAAAAAAGTTTTCTAATTAAGGAACGTTTTGGCGTATACCACGCTGATTAAATAGTATCTTAAGTGAAACAATATAAATATCATAATTCTACTTTGACTAAAAAATCACTTATAAACTCCATATGCTAAGAAATTTACGAATTCGTTATTTTTTTTGTTATAATACTACAAATGTTTCCGTAATAATTATGTAATTTTTAAAGGAATTTATAGTTATAAAAAAGGTTTTTAAAAACATTTTTTGTGTTTGTAAAGACTCATCATACATAAGAAATTACTTGAATTCTAGTATCCTTCTCTATTAAAAATGTTCTGTGAAACCAAGTTTTCTTAACAGCTGTGCAAGATCTCTAGTACTATTACATTTAGGCAAAGTGGCCTACCTTTTTATGCAATTGACTTGATTCCAAGTAAATATAGAAATCCTTGACTAGGGAATTGAAAAGATAAAGTTTCAATTAACATGATTTGTCTTGTCGTTAAACGTGATACTTTTGTTAATAGTTACAGAAGATCAGATAAGTCTTAGTACATTATTATTAATTATTAGTATGCATTTGTAATTAGCTTAGGCTTGAATATCTAAGCTTAAAGCTCAAAGACACCGTATATTGAGCTATCACACAGTACACGTTTAGGCTTATGACTCAAGGATAGTAGAAATTTCTTAGAATTGTAGATTTTGTGAGCAAATAAAGGTGTACATAAACGCTTTCGTTGGTAGCTTCTTATATTTTTTTACGATCATTGTAAATAAATATTGTTTGTAATACTATGAATCTGACGACAGCAGGATATTGCAATATTAAAGTATGACTCCAACGGCAATGCTGTCCAATGGTCTTTATGTATTTATTAAAACAACGTTTCGGCCATAAAAACAATTTTCGTTAGTATGTTCGAGTCGCTTACAGGCTACAGTCAATTAAGTAAGATCTCGACAAATGTAAGCGATCACGTAAAGCCTGTATACTGTGATATAATTTGCTTGAAAAGGGCCTCATTCTTAAATGGCCGAAACGTTGCTTTAATAAATAAATAAAGACCATTGGACAGCATTGCCGTTGGAGTCATACTTTAATGTTAAATATATATTGTCTTTGTCTTTTAAAGGTAATGAAAAAACGTGAAAAATATTTAAAATCCTTTAGAAAATTTCTATTTCTTAACTACTTGTTCGAAAATTTTAAGGGAATTAGGTATTAAGAAACTTCTAACAGCTTTCAGTTGATCAAATATAAGATTTAAAAAAAATTGGTGCATGCAATTCATCTATTCTTTTACTTACAAAAACTTTTAGAAAGAGTAAAGAAAAGTTTTTCAATCAATAGTCGTAGATCATAAAATTAGCTACTTTTTTATCTTGAAACACTTAGAATAAGAACCAAAAAATACATTTTATAATATCTGTTCGTTGTTAGCATACTAAAAGTAAACGTTATTTTATAATATAAAAATAAAAAAAATATACGCCTTTCATTACAGGTCATTGGTGCTTTTACATCGATCTTATTGATATGGATGGTAACTGGAGTCTTACTATTCCTTGCAGTAGAACGTATGATTAACAAAGATTTTGAATTAGATGTTTTAGTTATGTTAGCTACCTCAGCAATTGGTATCCTTGTGAATCTAGTGTTAGTATGTTATTTATTGATTAAGTGGTTTTCTATAAAATTTATGCATGGAAGTTTAATTTTTTTTCAATACCAAAAAGATATAACTTTAAAAAATGACATACATTCGAAATATTCAGTTAAAAAACTGTGAAAGCAGAAAAGAAAATAGATGCATATGGTTATGGCTTATCTCAATTTAAGTAACATATTTCTTTGAGTTCTCAAGTAACATTTTCTATGTTGCTTACTTACAGCTGAAAATTTTTTTTTAATACCCACAATCTTTTTTGACATAATAGTGAAAATGATTATGACAAAAAATTTTAGATTAAAGAGAACTACTTTCAAATACTTTATCGTATTAAAACCGATGAATTTGAAAGAAGCTTTCTTAAATATGAAGAACCACTAAGTAACATGATATGTTATAAACAGGTTTCATAAAATTAAGTTTCAATGTATAATATTCTGGCTTAGGTGTCTGTTTGTCTAAGTGTGCATGTATAATCAGTAATATGTTAAGTTTTTTAATAATATTCTGGCTCAGGTATCTGTTTGTCTAAGTGTGTAAGCATAATCAGTAATATGTTTAGTTTTTTTAACTAAAATAAGTAAGTATGAGTATTATATTTGAAATTGAGATATCCAAAATTGCTGATTATGAACATTTTTAATTATTTTAAATGGTTTTTTTTAAATTTTATTAATTTAATTATCAGTGTTACAAAAAGTGAATTTGTTGCACAAAAAAGTGGTAGATGGTTTTCCATGGATTTTTCAACGCTAAAACCAAGTCGTGTTACTTTAAGCTTTTTTAAAAAGCATAAATTTAATAACTACTTCAACCAAGACATAATTGTTAAACTGCTTTATAAAATTTTAAAGTAACACATCTGGTAAAAAAAAGATGTTTAGTAAGCTTAACGGCATTTGGAGGAGCAAGACTTACACTTTTAAGTACTCCATACAAAATGTTTCTGGAAAAAGATAATCGGTGTTTTTCGCACATAAGGGTCAAAATATCTTTGAGTCCATACTTGTTAAAATAATTATGAAGCCAGGTTCTGTTTCTGCGTTAAACATCTACAGAAAACCATTTATTACTTGCTTGTGCGAAAAATTTTCTAAACAAAAAGTTTTTTTTGAATATGTAATTTTAAAATTTTTTTTCTTTGTTGCCAAATACTTTTTTGTGTGTAATCTCATGATATACAAATTTAAAATACAAAATTTCATTAGAAAACATTATTATTTTAAAAAACTTTTAATAAAGTTTGTTGGCATTTACATACATACAATAATAAATAATTATATTTAAGTATTTTATGGACTAACCTTGAGATATGATTGGGGCCTCAACGGTGAGCAGCAAACTAAAAAACTATGTTTAGTATAAAAGCATACCGTATTTTATGTTAAGCCTGCTTCCCATGAGACTCGAATCTTAAAAAAGTCCTGTCAAAATCAAACTTTTACGATTTGATCAAAATTTGTACACAAGTTAAGTCCCTTTTTATAAATTACATTATCTTATCATAAATAACTTTTTTGTTCGATTATTAAGTTTCTACAAGGCAGTCAAAAAGTTGATCAACATGTGTTTTAAGTTCTAAGCCTTACATTGAAATTTCTTAGAATGGTATAAGATTTATTAATATTTTACCACCTACATGGAGATGTTATATGGCATCCTCCCAACTAAAACAGGTAAGAGCTTAACTCCAAGCTGCTCTGCTCAGTACTATTCCCATAACCGAGACTATTCTCCAGCTCATCTGGATTACCAACTGTGTTTAGAATACTTTTATTTTTAAGGTGTGCCCAGAAGCCCAAAAAAATTGACAGTTGCAGAACTAACTATTTTAAGTATAGTGAGTTAATAAAAACATCTTTGATGAGCACGAATCATCGATCAGATAGCATCGTTGATTGGGAACCTTACTATATGAAAGTGATGTTTGTTATATTTGTATTCTCTGAAGCTGATAAGCATTGATGATTAGCAAGCTAATTGAATTTCGGTTCAAATTTTGGTCGAAGTGAGACATTGGAATTTATATTTTGGCAAGCAAGCATGATCAGTTACCAACTTAGCTTTTTTTTCAGAACAGTGAGATAAAAGAATAGCTGCTCAGTCAAGGAATCATAAATGAGAAACAACCTCATTATTCCAAAAAAATATTTATCAATAAATTGTGTCCATAGGCAAAAAAGCATCGTCAATTTGCAACTCAACGGTTTTTAAGTACGGTTTGTTAACATAACCAAATTAATTATATGTTTGGAAAAAAAAAGAATTGATGTCCACCACCTAACTGTATTCAAGTGTTATTTAATAATTAAATATGCCCTTAGGACACCAAGTATCGGAAAATAGCTACCCAACTTTTTTGGTGCAGTTAATAAACAACACATCATAAAAAATTTCGCATCAATTATTAGAAACCCAACTGTTTTGATGTATTGCGTATAATAATAATGTCTTCTTAGGCAAAGAAGCATAAGAAGTTTTAAACTATACAGCTTTAAAGTAAAGTTTTTTAACAAAATATTGGTATAGAGTCGAGCATGCATTGGAAACATTCTTTCTGTTTGATTAACTAGTTATTTATTAAAAGAAATAAATGATTGATACATGATGATGATGCATGGCTGTTAAGTTCAGCAGAGTAACAACATAAAAATGTATACATGAAGACAAATGCTGTCAAGTCAAAGATATAATGGCAGCTGTGCTCGCTTTACTCGGGGTTTTCTTCCACTCTTTAGTCTGACTGTTGATCAGCATGCCATGCCTCCAGAAAGCAGCCGAGGGAGCGGTAAGGTAGCAGGCACGAAATACAATTCAACAACCTATCCACCTTGGTTCGTAAATGATTTCAGCTTTCCTTGTGGACGTCTGGATGGTGGCTGTTCGAAGAAGCCCATTGGGACCAGGATGGACGAAAAATATGCAACCCAGTGGCCAGGAGCCACTCGACTGGAGAAGAATGATGTCTTCCACAGCTACGACGTCATCGACCTGAAAATTGCAGCATGTGATTCTCCACTTCGGTCGTTGCTAGAGCGTGTTTAGGTATTCACAACTCCAACGGTCCCAGAACTGATCTTAAATGCCGCAAACAAGACTCCAGTAAGCCCGTCGATCCAGATCTTCAGGTGGAGGAGCAGCGTCGATGATGAAGTTCAGCAGACTGCTGACAAGAAAATACCCAGGAGTGAGGATCTCGATGTCATCAAGGCCGCCGATCAATGGGGTAAGGGGGCAGCTGTTAAAAACCGCCTTCATGCTGGTAAGGACTGTGGAGAGCTCCTCGTAGGTGAGGTGTCGTTGACCAATGATACGATGCAGACGACGATTCATAGACTTCACGCAAGCCTCCCACAGTTCGCGAAAATGCGGGGGCCGGGGGGGGGGGGGAACGAATTGCCACTTGATCCCTTGGTCGGCGAGAGCGCCAGCAACGTGCTCCCACTGCTCAGTGTCCTGTAGAGCCTTGCGAAGTTCTTGACCAGTGGCTTGAAAGGGCAGGTGGCGTTGTCGCTCCAAATCTCTGTTGATCGGCCTCGTCTCATGAACAGTCTTGTGATGGCATCCAGAAATGACTCAGTCGAAAAGTCGCCAACTTACTCGAGGTGCACAGACTGCGTGGGCATACATACAAAAATCGCTATGTATCCCTTGCTCGTGCGCATGCCTCGGCCTTTTGCTTACAAGATGTTAAGTGGGCTTAAATAACCAACACCAGTACGAGAGAAGGCTCGAGTGGGTGTGATTTACGCAGTGGGCACAGGGGCCATGTGTTGCGTGGCGAGCCGTGCCTGGAGCCGCGCGCAGACAACGCACATTTTCAAAAAACTCTTTAAACGCTGCCGCCCACCAACAATCCATGCCTTGCAAACGGTGTAAGCACTGGTGACACAGAGGCCCCCGTGTAGTGCTCGTATGTGGGCCCAGTGAATAACCAATCGAGCCAGATGACATCGACCGTCGAGGATCGGAGGGTACTGATCATCAAAGTTCAACGATGAGTGCCTAAGCCGACCGCCAACGTGGAGAATGTTGCTGGAGATTAACTAATCAAGAGTCCGCACCGAATGTTCTGCAGGCAAATGCCCCCCCCCCCCCCGTTGCAAAATTTCGATCTGGAAGAGAAGGACCGCTGTTGGCTGAGGCGGTGGTCAAGGGTGTTATGGCGGGAGCTGGGTCCTGACACAGCCGATGGCGGATTCATCGAGGTAACCAAGCAAGGAAGCGCAGTAGTAGGTCCAGATCCAATAACTTCTCCACGATGCTGGAGACGTAGAGTTGAATGGTATAACAGGTGTGGGTTGCCTTCTTGCGGTCCAAACTGGAGAGACTAGAAGGCCTGACAACCTTGGCCAGCCACATGTCTGGAGTGCCCGCGAGCCATGGTGGACCCTTTCACCAGATGTGCATATGCTCCAGTGTGGATAGGTCTGTTTCCCGGGACGCTACGTCCGCAGGATTCGATTCCGTTGGAACGTGTCTCCACAAGCAGGAAAGCAGCAGTTCTTGGGTATGAGCCACGTTATTGTCGATGAGTGAGTTGTTGGTGGGCTCTGACAATCGGAGCCAGAGAAGTACAATCTGAGAGTCACTCTAGGCATAACAGTTCTCGGGGAGGGCGAAATATTCCCCAGCAACCATGTGCAGCAGTTTTGCAGCAAGAAGGGCAGCTTGCTGCTGAACCATAGAGGCTGGTACGCGCTCGTCCCAATCGATTTGAGCGCGCCAGAGATCTTGGATGATCATTTTAGCTACCAGAATGACGGGAGCAATCCAGCCACAGGGATCAAAAAGACAGGCAAGAGTGGTGGGCATGATGCGCTTATTCTGCTGCGGCTCGAAAGTAGGTGACGCGAGATAGAAACAATCACGGATTGGATCCCAAATCACATCAAGCTCACTGATAAGGCCATCCACACTGATCTGCCACCAGATCGGCCTGAGGTGAACGTCTGGAAAGAGATTGTGCTGTAGCTCTGGCTTGTTG